ACAATATGAACATATAGTGATAAAATTATGAACATAAAGCTCTAAAATTGTGAACATAGAGTTTCGAAAATTATGAATTTACAGTTATTGAATTATGAATGTACAGTTACGGAATTATGAATGTACAATTATGCAATTATGAATGTACAGTTATGCAATTATGAACACAGAGCTCTGACATTATGAACTTACAATTATGAACATATAGTGATAAAATTATGAACATATACTCCTATAACAAAGTGATCTGATTTTTTTTTTTTTTTTTAAAGAAGTGGAAGAGAACGGTGCCACTAACGGCACCGTTACCGTGTCCAGCGGGTCCATAGCATAACGATTGGGCGCAAAGGCCTAGCTGGCCTTTGGGCCTACTACTGCCTACTCTGGCAGTCTACTTCAGTATACTACCGAGTGAGGCACTTAAATTTTAAATTTTTTTTCCGGTTTAGAACCGGAATCGGTGGTGGTTTCGTTCCTTTATTACGAGAAATATTGGTCCAAACCGAGATGATACCAAATGATGAAATGATATCTTGAATTCAATGTATTTTGAGAATAATTACACAGGTTTATATACTAAAGCTTAGCACAATAATAGGTGGAGCAGTAAAGACTAGACTAGAGACTAACAAACTGATACAATCTAACTGCTCCAATACAAGAACTTTAACCGGAACCTTATTGGTTCCGGTTCGAACCGAACCGTGATCACCCCTAAATACAGCTGGCTTTAGATCAATGCCTTATTCTCCTCTAACACATGTCGTATCTCATATTATAGATTTCTCAATGCTTCACAGAATTACAATGCTCTTAAATTAGCTTTGATGATAAGATCCTGGATGGTTTTTATGACCTATATGGCATCCAAACAGAGTCCACTTCATCAAAAATGCCCTCCCTTGTTACTTGAGCTCTGTGGTTTCTATGACCTATATGGATCATAAGAAATGCATATACCCACATATGGTGGAGTCTAGCATACTGAATCTTTTTTTTTTTTGACCTCTACTGTAAAAAGACAATGTGCAATGTACAACAAATATTGTGCATATAACACCATTTCTGCTTGTAAAGGATGTTGCCTCCACTCTTCTCTCTACAATTCAAATAAATAATAAATCCTTCAGATAAGAGCAATTAACCTGTGGCCATAACAAACATGAAAAGAAAGATTTTTAAAATCTTTAAGAAACACATCTTTTGCTGCTTTACAATATACTTTTATGGTAAATATTTTATTTAATAAATTATTTTGAAATTTGATAACACAACGAACAATTGATAGTTATTTTTAGTTTGATTCATAAGTAATATCTTATTATATGGTCTTTTCCTTTTATGGTTTGTTTAAGAATGCTCCCATAACCTTTGATAACACATCAAACAATTGATAGTTATTTTTAGTTTGATTCTTAAGTAATATCTTATTATATGGTCTTTTCCTTTTGTGGTTTGTTTAAGAATGCTCCCATAATCTTTATCTGGTGCATCTGTTTCTATTATTTTTTATGCTTTGGATCACATATTGTTAGACATGGTAATGTTTTTATATGTTTTCTAATTAGTTGTATTACTAATTTACTATAGTATGTTCTTCTGTCTGTGGTTTTGAATTTTTCTTCAGTCTATCAAATAATGGGTTGTTTAGGAATGCCCCCATAACCTTTATCTGATGCATCTATTTCTACTATTTTTGGTGTTCTGGGTCACATATTTTTAGACATATATTATGATGTGTTTGGATTTAAAAAATAAGTAAATATATAATATGTGTATATATCTTGTGTTGTGATTTTTTGTATCTTGTGTTATGAAATCATGTATATACCTGGTTTTTTTTTTTTTTTTTTTTTTTTAAATTTTGTACCTAGTTGTTTCGATTCAAGGTTATAATGCTATGTGGACCCTGGACCACGGTTAAAAAATGACGTTATATATTTACTTTTTTATTTTTTTACGCGAATCACTGCAACATACATTTTTATAATTCATAATGGACATTTTTTTGAAATAATTCATAATGTACATTATTCTAAAGCATAATGTATATTTTTCTAACTCATAAAATACATTATTTTACTCCAGAAACTTCATTATTCTAACACATAAAATTCATTATTCTAACAATCTAAATCATAAAATACTTTATTATAACTTATAAAATAAGTTAATTATCGATTTGGTCCCTCCACTATGAGGATTTCACTAATCTGGTCATCGACTTTCAAAATTCTTCAATTTAGTTCTCGACTATGCCTTTTTATCCGAAATGGTCCTAACCGTTAGACATCCGTTAACGCGAGACCAAATTGATAATTTTGTTATAGTCAAGGGACCATTTTGATCATTACATGCACCATTTTCTCCGAAAGTTAATTAATAAAATAGTCCCTTGAAAAAAGAAACACACCGTCGGCATCATGGACCACGGCCGCAACACACCCTGTGTTTTTCCCAGCGTGCACAAGAGCATCAACATGAATGCCTACCGCATTCATATCTAGGGATGGCAAATGGGCCAACCCGTTGGGTTTTGGACTAGCCCTACAGGGTTGGTGGACTTGTTGGCTTGGGCTAAAATGGTTTTTTATTTTTTCTTTTTGAATCGGGTTGGCCCTAACCCTAAACAACGGGTTGTTAGTTAATCCAACGGGCTAAATCACTAAACAAATGTTTTATTACAAATAGAGTAGGTTCATAACTATATATATATATATATATATATATATATATATACACACACACTACACACACACATACTATATATATATATATATATATATGAATTATCCACCATAACTCCAACATGCATGTTGCCGTTATTTGAGAGACGATGTTCCCCCTGCAACAAATCATCATTCCACGAGAAGACAAAGTAGCACGAACCAAAAAACTAAAAAATATATTCGAATTAATAACCTACTAAGTTCACCTAAATTTTAATTTAGATAATATTAATATTTTTTTGAGCTAATATTTAAAATATTTGTTTAATATATTCAATTGAATGGCATGTATATGAATATATATAATTTTTACTTTGAATTTTAATTATATACGTGAGATTTCAATATTCGATATTTGGACCGAACTTGTATTACGATATAACATAACTAAAAATATCTGAACTAATAATCTATTGAGTTTAATCAAAATCTAAAACATTGTATAGAGTTCAATTCTTAATTTTGATAATGTAAGTAATGTATAACTTTAAGTGTAAGTAAATAAATTATATTTAAATAAATAAATTAAGTAAAAAAGATAGAATATGATAATAAGTAAGATAAGATAATAATGAATGTACTCATAATAATGTCGTTATAACTAACATGGTTAGTGGTGGTCTCGTCCCTTAAGCATTGAGACCAAAGATTAATCTTCTAGCTATCAACTTGAAGGTTTAATTTTTAAGAATGTTCCAGTTAATTTTTAAGAAAAAGTTTTTAAAAAAATCTTGTTAATAATGAGCCCTTATTTCTAAACAAATATAGGCCATGTTTGGTTATTGACGGATCCGTCATTTTTGACAATTTGACCATGTCAAACTGCCAAAAAAATCGTTCGGTTGGCAACGGTTTGCTCCAAACCGCTGCACTTTGCAGCATTTGCAGTTGGCGTTTTGGAGAAATTTTAATTTTTCCCAAAACACCCCTGTTTATATATTTTTTTTTTCAAAAAAAAAAAAACTTAGAGTCTGTTTGGAAACCCGAAAAATGATTTCTGGAAATCATTTTCCAAGTTTTTGGTGTTTGGGTAGGCTGAAAATGAAATGGTCAAAGGAAAATGCTAGCTAGTCAATGGAAAATGTGTGCTAATATCCGGAAAATGACTTTCCATTTTTTTTGGGGAAGTCATTTTCCATCTTCCAATCTAAACACAAAACAAACGCGCAGAGCTGCTTCACCTCCTCCTTCAACATTCAACAGAGAATTACCAACACTTCCTCCTCCAACAATCCATAACCACTCCTCCAAATTTATGGCTTCTTCACTGGTTTCCCGAGCCGGAAACCAGATGCACTTTTTTATTTTTGCTGTTAATTTTTCAAGACTTAATTATGTATGCATTTATATTGTTTATAACATGTAATCAAAATTATCAAAATTGTTATATCCCACAAACAACAACAAAAATATATTTTTTCGTATATAATAATTAAAATGTTTAAATATACCATTCTATTCATTTTCTGAAAAATGAACCAAACATCAAAAGACAATTTTCCATCATTTTAAAATGAACCAAACACCAAAAAACAATTTTCCATTGTACAACCAAACACAAGAAAGGAAAATAACTTCTGAAAAATGACTCATTTTCCAGAAGTTATTTTTCTACTTTCCAAACAAACCCTTAAACTTATATGAGGCGCCAAAACACCTCCTCAATATTGCCCATCTGGGATGGGCAACGAATTAGTGGAGCCTTGAGGCTCCTTAAATAGGAGTCTCAAGGCTCCATTCCCACTTTTCTCACCGACGTGGGACAGTGGGAAAAGTGGGAATACAAGAGGGGAGCAGCCTTTTTCTTTTTTTAAAAAAATTATTATTATTATTATTAATTATTATAATTATAATTATAATGTATACTCTTATAGGTCATTCTACGTGTTAATCGCTAATCTAAACAGTTAATTTTATTAAATATTTTTAATTAAATCACTGATACAATCTACTGGTCAAACCTGTTAATATAATCCGCTATCGGATAACTGCTAACACAATCCGCTACCGCTAACCGCTAACCGCGGATAACCAAACAAGCCCATAATCTTGTTTATTAGTTATCTTGAAGTCTTGAACCAATCAACCCCTAACTTTAACAAAATAAGAACGCTCAACGCGCAGTCTGCCAGAGCCTAGAGACCTCAGACCAGAGTACCAGACTCTCACCCTCACTCAGTCACTCTCGGCCTCTCCTTCTCGGCTCGAGTACTTGACGGCTTCTCCAATCTCCACGGACCACAGTCGCACAGACACGATTCCTCGCTTCTGCTTCTCGATTCCACGGACCACGGCTCGACGCCCTCGCTCAGTCTCCGCTCCGTCTCTCCCTGTCTCCCTCACGCTCTCCGGCCGACGACCTCCCTGAGGCTCAAGAACGACAGCCAGTCAGGCCTCACTGCCTCAGCCAGTCGCCCCAGTAAGGTTTTTTTTTTTTTTTTTTTTTTTTTTTTTTTTTTTTTTAAATTTTATACTGTAAGTCAGTGAGTTAGTCTGTAAGTTAATTTAATTTGTTAGTGAGTTAGTCTGTAAGTTTAATAGAGAAAATTTTTTAATTTGTTTAATTTTATACCGAATTACAGACAATTTGTTTTTAACTCTGTAAGTCTCCAGTGTGGTGCTCAAATTGTTTAATTTTATACAGAATTACATGTAGCATTTGGAATTTTAGATTATTGCATATTTGTATTGGGTCAGTTATTCTGTCGGTTATAGCATGGCCGTTTGCTCATCCCATAAGTGTGGGTGCCCGCCGCGGGTGACTGGGATTCCAGGAGAGTGAAGAAGATAAGGAGCAAGAAGAAGGCCCTCAATTTGTTTTTGGCCGTTGCTGGAAGCGGAGAAGTTGACAGTAACAACGGTAATGTCCTTAGCAATCCCCGAGCTGCTTTTGTAATAATTTATTTGTACTTTCGTATTTATTGGTAAATTTTTTTTCATTTTACAGATTTTTTGATTATAGATCAACTGTCAGATATGGAAATGTTCTCTTTGGTCAAAACCTGTTCTTCCTCTCAGTAAGTTTTTCTTCTTCTGTTTTCATAAATCTTGTGTTTTATTCATATTGTCATTGTTCTAAATTTCAAGTTATGTTATTGATTTTGGAAATTCTCTTCATGAGATTTCCAGTTATTATTTGCTCCAAGTGTATATATGTTGTGTTAGTTTAATAACAGTTCATGACCTAATGCAAAGAGCATTTGAGATAAAATTTATGATACACAAAGATAAGTGTTTTATTATTATTATTTTTGGAGTAAAGAATGTAGTAAATACCTTATTTACAGCTTTATCTTTAATTTGAGCAACAAACAACATGAAATGTATTAAAGAAGTATAAAGTGCTACGTGCCATGCTATTTTTTAAAAAAAACTATTATTTTATCCTTTTTATGGGTGTAAATGGACATAAGCTTTTTATAATTTGATCAACTCTTAAGGTGCCAAGTGAATGATATGATTCTGTAATGGGAAAGACAAAGAATTTTTTTAAAAAGTAGAGTATACTTGTCCGACTTGTTCTTGGATGCATCTTAGGTAACGCGTTCATCAATTGAATTTAAGATGTTTTTCATATTCCATTATGTTTTCATGCTCTAGATAATGGTTCCATCATACTAACTATTGAAATAACGTTAGATGCGAGTTTATCAAAGAGTACAGTGCTTCACACCCTGAATCTTCTAGCTTGAATGCTGTAAGTCCTAATATAGTTATAGTCCTAATATAACATATCTAATCTGTTATGTTCAGTTTTTAAATTGTGTTTTAAGGGTAATTTTCAACCCAAAATTTTATATGCGATACATTTATTTATTTTAGATTTTTTCATTTTTTAGTACACATAAATTTAAATTGTTGTTGGATATTTTTACATTTTTTTTGCTAAAATTTATAGTTTTATACTATATTTTATGAGAAAATATGTGGTGTCCATCTATACTATACCTCTTGCATGGGGAAAAATTCAAAATGTTTTTGTATTTTACAGTATTTACATTGAATGTAGGAAATACGAATGTTGATTGACTACATAATTTTATCATTTGTATTCAGTTACTGTAAAAAGGTAATACAAACCAAATAATTCTTGTCAATTCAACAAATATTTACATTTAATCTCAATGCAAACAACGTATAAAAATAAGGTCGGGATTATGTTCTCACATTCCAAGGTGTAGTTGTTTTAAACTGTTTTGAGCCTACAATTCTTCAAGCTTAGTACGTGCCCAACTAAAGAAAAAGTCAATTTTAAGTGTTATGACTATGAGTTGCATATTAAATGCCTATCAGTTCTCCCTGTTTTCTTTCTCAGCTTCTTCCATATAGTTGATTATGTATGCAGTCAGCACAAAGTCAAAAGCTAAAAGCTTTATTTTTTTTTTGGTTTGTTTAGCTCTTAACTTTCAAGTGTTAGAATATTAACAATGGTTTCCACTGGCTGTCAATGTTGCTGCTACTCTGCATTTCCTTGTTAATGTGCTTCTGTTATTGCATGCAGAAGATTCATTTGTGTTCTGTGACTTTGAAGTGTCCTATGTTACTGCGAGCAAGCAGTTAGCAGTGTCGGGGAATGGCGACGATATTTCCCAACTTATCTTCCGCAATTTTCTGTGTAAACCCATTTTACAGACCTTCACTTTACCTCACAATCAGAGGTTTCAACAAACTGGGAGCACAGCAGGGACCATTACGTCCCGCACGCTCTATTCTCCGCTCTTCATTCAAATCTCTCTCAGCTCAACTTTCTTCTTCAAATTTCAATCCGGCAATGGCGCAGACTCAAAACCAATTAATCCCATACAAAAGTTTGGTTGTTCTGGGCATTGAAACTAGCTGTGATGATACTGCTGCTGCTGTTGTAAGCTCACATGTCCATTTATGCGTGTGTCTATGTATAAATATGTCTGTGTGTGTATATAATTACTTCTCAGATTCCTTTGTGGATTATTTTGGTGAAATTAGTTGCAAATTTCTGTTGTTCATGGATTATCTGGGTGGAATTAGTTGTAAAGTTCGGTTCTTTTGTTATGGATTCTTGAATTCAGGTGAACAGCAATGGTGAAATATTAAGCCAAGTTATCTCTTCTCAGGTATTATATCTAGTGTGCGTTTGTTTGCACTGTATTGCACTCCTATAGTCCTATGACACCTTTCTTGTTAGCGTGGCCTGATTAGTATTTGACGTGCTACCGTTTTCAATATTCTTTGGTTAGTTATTTGGCTTTCAGTTTTCCAAGTTATATCCTACAATACAGTTATACAGATTAATCTTTTCTTACTAAAAATTCAACCTTGGATCAAGGCAGAACTGCTTGCTAAATATGGAGGAGTTGCTCCTAAAATGGCAGAAGAAGCACATGCACAGGCTATTGATCAGGTATGCTATATTGCTACCTGTTTTTACTTAATCACTATCAATGTTTTAGAGGAGAGTTCTAGGGAATGCTTTACTGTAATCACTATGAACATGGAAGAGTTTGAATTAAGTTTGGAATTGTTCCAAGTCCCAAACTAGAGAGGGTAGAACTTTCATCCAGTCTGATAACTGAAGTGTTTTCCAGAAACTAATCTGTCATCGGTTCAATATTTTTCTTCGGGCAGGTGATCTTAGTAGTACCTAGTCTATACTCTTGATGAAAACAGTCCCTAATATTCCATTTTAGCTTTAATATTCCTACACAATCTTCTTACCCTGTGATGTCCTTGTCATCCAACTGGGGGGAAGATGGAGAAGACCCACTTGTGGTCTTGTGGATGACTTTCCTATGTACCAAGTTCTGTATTTCAGGATGCGTGTTCGTCATTTCTTCTACATTATTATAATACTACCTACAAATACTTTTTCCTGACACAGACACTTGTTTTGAATTTCAGGTAGTTCAAGATGCCCTTGATAAAGCTAAACTAACTGAGAAGGATCTTACTGCTGTTGCTGTTACAATTGGTCCCGGCTTAAGCTTGTGTCTGCGTGGTGATTAGTTTTCCATTCATTACTTTCTTCTCACTTTTGTGGCTTTCTAGGGGAAAATTTGTTTTCCTACTCTCCTCCCACTTTGAAAAGAAGCCAATCAAATGAAAGGAAGAAATTCCATTCACAGTTATTTTTATAATCATTAAATAAAATATAAACTTAGGTTTCCATTTTGTTGTTTGCATCATCTACCTTGCCAAAGTTTGATAATTGGGCAACGGGTGAAATGTATATATGAATATACAAATGCATCAAACTCAGCATATTTTGAATTTTCTAGTTAGCTTGGAATGTGGTCCTTGACAACAGTGTTTGCTTACTATTCATTCTTTCGTATGTAGTTGGTGTACATAAGGCTCGGCGAATTGCTGGTGCTCACAGTTTACCTATTGTTGGTGTTCATCACATGGAAGCTCATACTTTGGTAGCCAGGTAAAGATTAGGTTCCATGTAGGAATGAGTAAAATTTATAATGCCTATTCTATATGTGGACAAATTTGCTTCCTTCAAAGGAGATTGCTGTGATTACTGCTCTGGTTTCCATCAAATACTCTCAAGCTCTCACACACTCACATATACATGCATGTATGTATATAAGAATCTTTAGTTGCCTGCCTTAAAATTAATGTTTTGCTTTCATCTAGGTTAGTGGATAGAAAGCTGCAGTTTCCTTTCATCGCTTTGCTTGTCTCAGGTAACACTTTTGAGTGTATAGTACTGTTAATTATTCTTTATGCTGATGAAAACTAATGCTGGAGTATGATAGGGGGATTTTGTCTTTTGATTGCTACTAAGAAACAATTTTGACCATATGTGTTTCTTAGGAGGGCACAACCTTCTGATTCTTGCACGCGGTCTTGGTGACTATATTCAACTTGGGACCACAATTGACGATGCAATCGGTGAGGCATACGACAAAACCGCAAAATGGCTTGGTCTTGATTTGAGGAAAAGTGGGGGCCCAGCTATAGAGAAACTAGCTCTAGAGGGTGATGCAGAGTCTGTAAAATTTAATGTAAGTTACTGTTGGGGGAATTTACGTCACATAATTATACCCTTTTGTCATTTTCTGGTTATGTGGCATTTTAAATAGCACTCAGGTAGTTTATCTTGATGCTTAATTTGAAAATTTTTTGTTTTTAGGTTCCAATGAAACAACACAAAGACTGCAACTTCTCATATGCAGGTCTGAAGACACAAGTGAGGCTGGCAATTGAAGCCAAAAACATGTATGCTGTTCATATGGGAAAAGCCAATCTTACTGTATTTACATTCATTGAATTTTTTTTACTAGTCTTGGAAACTCTGTGCTTTCATACCGTTAGACAGTTTGCTCTGTTTAATTTGACTAATAAAAAATAATCTTCGGTTTATCATAAAGGACATAAATCATGCATCCTGCCTAGTCCCTCTTTCTTTGTTGATTTTTATGTATTTTGACTGCAGCAATGCTGGGATATCCATCTCTTCAGCTTCTAGTGAGGATAGGAAAGCTCAGGCTGATATTGCTGCATCATTCCAGGTATTAAGCTCCGTAAATGAGTGACTTCCTTGCAAAAGTATTAAACTACAATCTCTGCTTAATATCCTGCATCTCTCGAGTTCCTGATTTCCCATCGTTCATGCAGCGAGTGGCAGTACTACATTTAGAGGATAAGTGCAAGCGGGCAATTGAATGGGCCTTGAAGATTGAACCGTCTGTAAATCATTTGGTGGGTGTTTTCTGCGCCACTTCTATCCCATGTCTACTTCATATCATATTTAGATGAGCGGTCTGCTTTCCTGTTTGTTCTCATTGCTATAACATATTTATGTTTCTGTTATATTAATTCGAACATTACCTTCTTCAGGTTGTATCTGGGGGCGTTGCATCAAACCAGTATGTCAGGGCTAGGCTTAACGAGGTTGTTAAGAAGAACGGCCTGCAACTCGTGTGCCCCCCTCCCAGCCTTTGCACCGACAACGGTGAGTAACTTAACAATTGTTTGGCATGTCAACATTCCGGAAATTCTACACAAAAACTCAACTCTGCCGTTTTATGTTAGGTGTGATGGTTGCTTGGACTGGCATTGAGCATTTCCTCGTGGGAAGATTTGATCCTCCACCTCCTGCAGATGAACCTGAAGATGCTCTGGTTTGTCTTCCTTGCTTCCATTCTCGAGTCCTATAACTTATTTTTTCTTGGCACTATATTATTATTCCATTCCAATTGGCTTTCTGCATTTTGCGTTATTTGGTCCAATATTGACTGATAAGAATTAACCGAGGAACAGTTTATTAATCTTTTCTGTTCATAATGTTTTAAGATGTGGTTTTCAAAATTTGAGAGCTTATGTTGAACATAACGGCCCTGTTTGGTAAAATAGTCAGCCTATAGGCCAATTTTAGCTTATCTGATCACTATTAGTTGTTTGACTTGGTTTAAAAATCAATATAAGTGTTTGGTTAATTAGCTTTTTGTACTCCAAAAAGCTAAAATTCAAAAAGTTACTCAAATCAACTTTTTCAATTAGCTTTTTGAGAAAAGAAATTATACCAAACAGCTATCAGCTAACAGCTAATTTACCAAACACCTTTCTACAATCAGCTAATGTTATCAACTAGTTATACTCTCTAATTAACTCAATCAGCTAACAACTATCCGCTATCAGCTAACAGCCATTTACCAAACAGAACCAAAATTTAGGCAGTTTACAAGCTGCAATATCATCCTATTAAGATTCAGAGACTTTCACTATCTACTCACAGATTGCGTGAAACATGAAAATGTAGAATAGAAGAAGATACCCGCGCTGCAGATCATTTTCGTTACTTGTAATCCTTAACCGTGTCTCCTTGGAACAGGTTGATCTGCGCCCGAGGTGGCCGTTAGGCGAGGAGTATGCCGAGGGAAAAAGCGAAGCTCGCTCATTGAAGACAGCCCGGGTTCATCCATCCCTTACATCTCTGATTCAGGCATCTAGGAAGCAACAATCACAATCTGCAGTCTAAGTTATGCCATTTTCTGAAGCTTCTGTTCTTCTCATTCAAGAAAATAACCACAATCACTTCAAGAGTTGAATGCTTTCATGTGCTCAAACTGGAGAGTATCATGTTATTACACAGCAAGCAAAATCTTCCAAGAAACCAAAATTTATCTCTGTCACTCTGTGATAAGCATATACCATTTAGATTTTATATTGTCTATATAGAACATTTATAGTACTCCGTAACTTTATACTTTGATTTACGAGAAAATTTGTAACCATTATTCGAAGGTGCATTATAATACATTTATACCTGGTTACCAGAGATTGGGTTGTATTACTTGTATCACATTTAATTGTACAATAATAATAATAATAATAATAATAATAATAATAATAATTATTATTATTATTATTATTATTATTATTATTATTAGTAACTGCCATGGGAAGAGATGCAAATAATTAGATGTACCTTGTTGCATGGGCTGTGGTGGAGAATGAGAACACATATTCCTAGGGATGGTTTCTTGAGTTGCTTAAAAAAGATTTTGGAATCACCAACATGTACCCCTCGACCATTATCAGTGACCAACAGAAGGTATTTATGTACACTGCATAACATTTATTTACTGCTATATATGAACTGTTTTTTCATACTTTCATTTGGTTGCTTTAATTTGTATTAAAACTATATATGGTAGGAAGTGTATTTAAGTTTTCATAATTTCATTTTACTGATGTGTATTAACACTGTGGTAGGAAGTCTGCACTGATAGAGTTTGTGTTAAACTGTATTCAATTTTCCAGACTTCTCTTAGTCTGCACTGAAATGGTTTCTGCTAAAGTGTATTTAATTTTCCATACTCTCTCAGTCTGCACTTATATAGTTTGTGTTGAACTATATTTAATTTTCTAGACTTTTCTTAATTCTTTGCTTAACAGAATATATGGTGATAAATATACTGCTGCAGATGATAGTTATAATCACCTATGTTTAATTTTGAACTATAAACTATATAGTGTTGCAGTTATAGAAGTTATATACTGTTGCAACTATGAACTCGATTGCTTATTTACATTTATTGATATGAAATCTATTTAATTTTGCATGGCTTTTATTTTCTGCTACCATGGTCTTTCATTTCCTGCTGCCAACACTATTAAATTGAAAAATATTATTGCTTTTTATTGCAGGGTTTAACTACTGTTATTTAATAGTTGTTTCTTGATTCAGAGCACCAGAATTGTGCAAGACATATGCAGTGACGGAGCCACAATGGGGGCAGTGGGGTCAACTGCCCCCCTCACCTCTTTCCTTTAATATATATATACATGTACAAGTCACTAAGTAGTTTGGTTGTTCAGTTGGTTGAGTCTTTGAATTTAACATTAAATGGCAAGGGTTCAAACCCTATCAACAACAATATTTTGTGTAAATTTTAGCTTCTTTTATTTATTTAAACCCTTCTTAGTTCTTACCCTTTAATAAATTAAATATTTTGTATACTGTTTTGTGTATATTTTAACTTCTTTTCTTTATTTAAACCCTTCAATAAATTAAATTTTTTTTAAGTCTTTTTTTTTTTTTTTTTTTTGTAAATCATTTAGTTAATGTAGTCAACAAATTTATATTATACTTCATCGTATTCAAATTAATTTAGAAAAATTTAAGTTGATCTAATTAAAAGGAAATTAAAATTAAAGTATTTATGAATATAATGTCTTTTCTATTCAGACAATTCTAAAATCATTTCAAATACGCCCCACTCACGTCATTTTCTGGCTCCGCCACTGGACATATGCATGCAAATTGGAGTAAGCGTCACAAAGGAAAGGCTTTAAAGAACCACTTATGGACGTGCGCTAAGTCAACAATAGAAGGACAATTTCAGGAACAACTTAAAGCTTTAGAAAAGAGAGGCAAAGAGGCTAAAGCTGATCTAGAATGATATCCTCCTAAGTTTTGGTGCAAGGCATATTTTAGAACCATAGTGAAATGTGACATTGTAGATAACAACCTTTGTGAGGCATTCAATGGAACTTTGGTGAAAACAAGATGTAAGCCAGTTATTCCCATGCTTGAAGACATTCAAGTATGTGCTATGAGAAGGATTAGGGATGGCAATATGCCCATCCCCGTTGGGGATCCCCGGCCCCGTAGGGGTCGGGGATGGGGACGGGGAAAAATTTCGGGGATCGGGGATCAGGGACGGGGATGGGGAATTTTTGAAATTCCCCGGCGGGGACGGGGATACCCCTCCCCGCCCCGCCCCGCCCCGTCCCGTCCCCGAATAAATAATATTATATATATATATATATATATATATATATTTATTTATTTATTTATTTATTTATTTATTTATTCATTTTTTAAAATTAAGACTTAAGTTTTTATTTTTTAAAATTAAAAATTACACTAATTTTAGATTTTGACTAGGAGTTGATCGGAACGGGGATTCAAATTCCCCGCGGGGATGGGGACTATTTTTAATTCCCCGCCGGGGATGGGGACGGGGAGTATACTCCCCGCCCCCGCCCCGTCCCGTTGCCATCCCTAAGAAGGATTGTAAGAAAGATGAAATCTGTTGACATTAGGAAAGGCAGATATGGACCATTTATAATGAAGAAAGTGACTGAAAATAAAAAGGAAAGCATTGGATGGGAGGTTAATTATTTCTAATGTTTATTCAATAATATGAAATGAAATGTTGTTATTTTAAATTGGAGTAATAATAATTTTTGTTGTTAGGTTGATTTTAATAGAGATGATGGATACGATAGGACATGTTCTTGTAGAGCATGGAATTTGAGTGGTATACCTTGTGCTCATGCTATATGTGTCATCTTTGATAAGGGGAGGAACATTGAAGATTATCTTGATCCATGCTACTCAAAAGAAGCATATCAAAGAACTTATGCACATGCCCTTCAGCCTATGAATGGAGAACTATTTTGGCCTAAAACTACTTCCCAAGGAAATATTGGTTTCGATCCCCAAGATAATGCTAGGTTAGTTGGCCAAGGAATAAAGGAAATCGTGAGGAAAATGAAGGTCCATCAACTAGTAGCAACAAGACTCAACTAAGTAGGAGGGGCCAAGTTATGTTGTGTTCTATTTGTAGGCAAGAAGGGCATATTAGACCAAAGCGTACTTCCGGTGGAGTTGTCTCTTCAACAATAATGTTGGACACAATATTATTGTTAAATATTTTGAGCAACTCATTTAATGTATATGTTTTTTTTTTTTCTTTTTTTGGTAGCCCGTTAAACAACAAGAGCAAGCTAACATTCAAGCAAATCAACAACCACGGATAAACGAAGATTGACAACATGGGTTGTTATGGTAGTACTTTCTTTTGGAAACACAATCTTTGCAGTACAATTAATGTTGATGTAGAAGTTCTTTTTTTTTTTTTTTTTTTTTTTTTTTTTGTATTTGTGCAATTAACCAATACATGTTGATGTATTTGTTCTTTGTGCTATTAACCAGTACATGTTGATATAGAATGTCTTGTGTATTTGTGCTTCATGCAATTAAACAGTACGTGTTGATGTAGAAGTTCATTTGTATTTGTACTTTGTGCACATACCTAGTACATGTTGATTATGAAATTTAATGTGAATTTCATTTCAAGTGTTTACTTCCGGTTTCAATATTTTTTAAAAGGAATAAGGGTCAAATAAGTCATCAAATTACGCACAATAATGTAATTAGGTCACTGAACTTAAAAAATATACAATTAGATTTCTGAACTAATCAATTTTATGCAATTAGTCTTATTTGTAGGTTTTTCAAGTTGTTAGTAGGTCACCTCTTTTTAATTTTTTTTTAAAATTATTATTAAAATAATTATTTAAAAAAAAATTTTAAAAGAAAAAAAGTTCGTCTCCGGCGGAGACAATATCTTTTTTTTTTTTTAAATAATAATTTTTTAAAAAATTTTAAATTAGAGGTGACCTGCTAACCGCTTGAAAAACATACAAATTGAACTAATTGAATAGAATTAGTTAGTTCAAAAACCTAATTGTAATGTTTTTTTTTAAGTTCTGTGGTCTAATTGCATTATTAAGTGCAGTTCGAATACCTATTTGACCCTTATTTCTTTTTAAAATTTTCATTTTAAATGTTTACCTACTGCTTCAATATCAACCACAAAGGAAATGTTTTCATCCATTCAAGCTAAATAATGCGTAGTACATAATACATCGCAGCATATTCTATACCAAACTTATTAATGTCGACCACAGTAAGTACAATTACAAAAACCTTGAAAATTATTCCAATTTCTTTTTTCTTGGCAACTTCCATGTCTAACATTTCATTCAGTCTCAACAAGCACTCGGGTGCTTCGTATTCCCTCTTTCACTTCAAGAAGCAATTTCTTAACCTCTTCCAATGTGGAAATAGAGTCTATCTCATCCTCTTTCCAAACAAAAAATCCACACCCTAATTCAATCCTACAAACAAAATTAATACAATCAACTCACTAACTAAACATAATGAAGACTATATTTTCAATCGGGACGGACCCAGAAATTTTTTCAGTAGGGACAAATATTAAACCAAAGAGATAGTTTAAACAAAATAAATAAAACACTTAGGAAACATAACCATAAATATTGTTGGATATGGACGAAAAATAAAATACATCAAAAGTTTATAAAAAATTATCATAACTGATGATTTTGTTGGGACCGGGTCCACCATAAAAGTATAGAACGGGGGTAGAAAAATTATAATATTACTGCTCGGGGCGCTAGACCCAAAATAATACATACAAAGCCGAGATATTGACCCATAACGGTGGCTCAAATAATAAATAAATAATAAATACTATAACTCAAAGGACGAGCTAGGACATACTAAGAAAAACAGTGTAGCTAATGGGAATCGACCCTTAGTGGGTGGGTTGAAACAATGGACAACTGAAGCTAATGTGAATCGACTCTTAGTGGGTGGGTTGAAACAATGGACAAGGGCTCTTGTATTGATCAAACCGTGATGTCTTAAAGGAGGCAGTGCACCCCCTTTTATAGTGTTCAAGAGCTCCCCATGTCTTGTCAAGTGGACGGAGATGCTTCACCCTTCATGACCACAACCTACTTGTCCATGTCATCCCCACGTCTGCATCAGCACGTCTTCACCACCCTAGTCACGCACATGTACACCTTCAATAATGTGTGCCCCTTCCGAGGGCGATGGGTGTGTCGCCACACTACGAGGCGCCCTAGGCCCGCTAGGGGCGTCATGGCTGAAGGTGACCGGCGGCCGGTCGTGGCAGGTTTGTAATCTGCCAGCCCGTGAAAGTCGGAACAAATATAAGAAGTAACGCCTTAATATATAAGAGATGGAGTGGCTTGGTGGGTTGAGTTACATGTGTTATGCTAGAGGCATTGGATTCAATCCCAATTGACAACACCATGTATTCTTTTATACCAAGCCTGGTGTGTTGCTGCTAGACTGTCAGCCCGGGACCCTTGTCCATTTACATACTGAATTGTGATCATTTAATATGTAAATTGTGTATTTTAGATTCGGGTCCACAAAATAATTTGGCCCGGTGAACTCATTCTTTGTCCTCTTTTGTGCCTTTTTGGGCCACCATGCCTTTCTAGCCCAACAAAACTTGGGCCAACATCCCCCAGCGGTTTTGCCCCGGTGAACTCTTTCTATGTCCTCTTTTGTGCCTTTTTGGGCCACCATGCCTTTCTAGCCCAATAAAACTTGGGCCAACATCCTTCCATCATCATCCACACTTGGTCAAGACTTTCCTTATATAACGCAATTGTTTCCTTATAAATTATGTGTATTTGTTTATACAATTATGTACATTTTTTATACAATCATGTACATCTTTTTTATACAATTATGTACATCCGGAACAGGAAATTTATGTGTATTATGTTAAGAGTTGATGTTTATTATGTTAAAAGTTTATGTATATTATGTATTATGTTAGATTATAAGTATTATCTTTAAAAAAAAAAGTAGGTATATTTTGTTATACAATTATGTGTATTCTAGTATAAAATTATATACATTTTTTTAACTTGAGATTTTTTAAAAAAGAAAATTAACCGCCAACACAAGGTAGCGAAATTTCAAAAAAAAAAAAAAAATGAAACGACGTCGTTTTGCATCAGGGCGCACAATGCAATGCGTGCCCTGATGCAGGATATAAATAATGTGTCCCCGGGGTCCCATGTCCTCATCAATAACAAAATATTGAAACATAATTACTTTATAAAATGATTCGAATATAAAACACGTTATAACTCACACATCTCATTATTAATATAAATATAAATATTAAATCAAAAGAGATAGTTTTAAAAAATAAATAAATAAAACACTTATGAAGCATAACCATAAATATTGTTGAATATAGATGAATAATAAAATACATCAAAACTTTATAAAAATAATCATAACAAAATATGAAACATAATTACTTTGACAAAATGATTTAAATATAACACATTAAAAATCACACATCTCATTACTAATATAAAAAAAAAATGATAATTGTTGATATGGGTTAAAAATATTAATATATTAAAAAAATAATACTTGTTGGATATGGGTGAAAAATAAAATACATAATAAATGTAGGTAAAGCTAGCAAACACCACACTGACACACCAAATAATGTTAAGGGCAGATCCAAACTCATAACTTTTCATAAGTTGCAAGCATGCCTTACCAACTTGATTAACTCATCTTTTTTTTTTTTATTACTTTTATCTATATTTTCTACTTATACCTAAACATGTACTAATATATATATATATATATATATATATATATATACATACTAGGTTTTTTACGCGCTTTGCGCGAATGAGATAATGTCCAATGATTTTTTTAAGGGAGAAGTATCAAATAGGTCCATGTACTATTATCAAGTGCTCAATTCCCACCATGAACTAAATTAAAGGCTAATTAACCACACTTACCTTATACTAAATTTGTTCAATTAACTTTTTTTTTTTCAGGTAATTGACTTTTTTACAGGTTACCAATTCAATAATTTAAAAATAATTTAAAAATTATTAAAAAAAAAAGAATACAGCCACCGGCTGTCCTCGCCGGACAGCCGGTGGCTGTATTCTTTTTTTTTTTTTTTTTTTTTTAAATATTTTATTTTATTTTATTTATTTTAATAATTAAATAGGTAACATGTTATTAACCTATAAAAAAAGTCAATTGAACAAGTTTAACTCGTAGATGGACCTATTTGACACTTAATTTAGTTCGTGGTGAAAATTGAGCACTTCGCAGTAGTAGATGAGCCTATTTGACACTTGTGCCTTTTTTTAAATAAGTATTTTAAAGTATATCAATGCAATATTATATAGGAAATGTTTATGTATAGGTAAATAAATGTTGAATTTGTTTATGTAAATCGATAATTTAAAGTATATAAATTCAAGATAATATATGAGAGATTAATTATAATTGTCGCTAAAATAAATGTTTGCAACTTTGTAATAACGCTAGTCTAAATACTTAGTCTTAAAGTGATAGTCTAAATAAATACTACTTTTGGTTTAAATTTCTCTAATTCTTCTTAATTCTCTTTTGGGTAGCATTGTCATTGTTTTCATCTTCAGTACATGTCCTCTTTTTTTTTTTTTTTTTTTTTTTTTTTTTTTTTTTTTTATTGGTAGTGTGTCATGTGCAATTAGGTTACTGGTGGCAGCATAGAGGGATTCATCATGCAATGAGATTAGGGTGTAGGAAGCTTTAGATTTGCCTTGCTGTGTATATGACTGAGATTTTAGTTGTAATATGAACTCTTTATCTTACAAACACCTATTGATATTTAGTAGTGGTAGTTTTTCCCCTACATGTTCCATGTGTTGTGAGATGTGTGTCGTAGGTTATCATGTGAAAGTATTGAACAGAATATTAATATTGATTATATTTGTATAAACTACTTGGTAAATAAATATATATTACTTGTTTTGTATTATAACTTTGATATTTAATTACAAGATAATGTAAAAAGAAAGATAATAGACAATGTAGTGAATATAATAAATTAATAAAATTGAAGGTATGGAATCTTTGAATTGTAGAAAATAAAAATAATACGGAGTATAACTAATGAAATTGTATTTCTTTTAAATTTTTTGTTTATAATGAATAATTTTTTTTTAAATAAAGCATTATAGACATCTAATTCTAAATTAATTAAATGCATATGTATTGTTTTTTGTTGTAGCTACTAATTTATTTATATTTTAATTTAATAAGAGTAATAAAGTGTCGTACATACTTTTTATCAACAATAATGAAATCAATGATTTTTTTTTAAATTTCCATTCCTTGTTGAGACAAATTGTTTTGAGAGTTTGTCAACGATAATTGCTACAATTGTTGTCAATAGAGGACGATAATAAATAATTCAAAATATATGGTTACAATATATATTGTTATAATGATATAGTAAAAATTAACTTACAAATTTCTTTAGAAGTTTTCATGCATTGATAAAATTCTGATGTGTGAACTTGTTCAATTGGAGCTAGTAGGATGTTAACACAAATTGTTTTGAGAGTTTGTCAATGACAATTGCTACAATTGTTGTCAATAGAGGACGATAATAAATAATTCAAAATATATGGTTACAATAGCTATTGTTATAATGATATAGTAAAAATTAACTTACAAATTTCTTTAGAAGTTTTCATGCATTGATAAAATTCTGATGTGTAAACTTGTTTATAAGTACATATTTCGGCATGTCTTAAACGAAAGGAGTGTCTAATATGATGAATTTTGGCACTAAAACAATAGTCGTGGATGAAAATGGTAATAAAACAATAGTCGTGGATGAAAATTGGTAATAAAACAATAGTCGTGGATAAAAATTGATAGGAATTAAATATGCATGTGGACCAAAATTGTCGCTTTGTTAATACTGGTGAGACCAAAATTGGTATTTGCTATTTAATTTTTTACCAATCTGATTTGGAATTGAAGTGACAACATACTCTCATTATATTATAGAAACACACATCCTCCCAAATGCTCTGTCGAGTCGGGGTGTGGGGGACCCTTAGGGTTGGGGTTCAGCCTTTTTTGGAATAATTATAGAAACACACGGCTGTTGGAAATTGGTGAATAAATCGATACACAATATATATATATATATATATATATATATATATATATATATATAATATTTGTCCCGAAAAAGGAATTTAATTTATAAAAAATTAATTCCAACCAATTTTGGTACGAAATCAAAATTTCATATATATACAATATATATATTAACCAAATTCCAACAATCTTAAAACCGATTCGCCGCCTCCCGAGGGTGCTAGGATCGTTGTGGCGTCAGTCTCCCAGGATAAAACGGACTACGACTTTTGCGTTCGAGCACTCCAACCCAAAGCCCGGCGAACTAGAACACAAGTTGAGCACTCCGATGTTTTATGGAAGATGTTTGGCAGAATTTCTTTTCTTTTGTAAACTGGATGAGAGTGGAGAGGAAACAAAACAATTTTGGTTGATTCAAAACTCACATGTAAACATTCTGCCAACCACCAAGATATTTGTAGGAGAAGGGAATTAAAGCATATTCATGGCCATTATTAACCAACATAAATCCAAGATTTAATAATTGGATAATAACGTTTGAAACGGTTGTAATTATTATCGAAATAATATCAACGGTCACGAACTTAATACGCGATTAATTTGTACCGACCATAACGACCCGTTTCAAAATATCTGAGTGACCAAGAAGTCCGTACAAACCCGAAGGTTTAACGAATTGAGACCGGAAACCACACCCGAGTGATCCGCAAGCACCGAACGGTGCAACACGAATCAATGCATATAGCATTTGATTCGTGCACACCGAATCCACAGCACGAAATGAGCTACTTTGGAATCCAAAGCTTAAGCTCAATTCATGCACAACTTTCGTCCATGCACAAAGCATAGCACGAAAGTTCATTTCCCAATTCACTAATCAAGCTTTCAAAAGCTTAATTGCAACTTAACCTTTTTCCAAAACTTAATTACAAACATTCTTTCGTGAATGCTAAGTAATTAGCATCAAGATTAGTGCTAATCTTAATTAGCCACTAAACAATAGGTTCAAGTTGTTGACTTCTCTCAATAAGTTCACTTTGAGAATCAATTTCTCATTCACCTATTATCCATTTTGAGCGTACATTATATCAAATTCTTCGTCTCACTATGAAGAACCCGAATCTACTTTAACCCGACCCAAATCAGAAGTAGACCCACATATATTTGTACCACAAAATAATCACTTAAAATGCCATTTTTAGCTAAAAATTCCAACAACGGCTAATTCAGATAAAGATTGAATTTTTACCATAAATTTTTCGCAAATGGTATCAACAAATAAATTACTCACTAGGCAGGTCCTAGGGCTCAGTAAATTACTCAACCAGTGGAAGGGTTGTTAAATGGGTCAAGCATCACTTGCCAAATTCGGACATAACATAAAATGACGATTTTGCTCCTTCTATTTAAAATTAATTATTGAATTAAAATTTTTCAGTCATATTTAGCCGGTAATTTGATCGGCGTGACCAAAATTAATAAAAATTACATAATTAAAATACTAAATTAATATTTTTAAAAATCAGAAATTGCAATTAACAGAAGCTTAGTAAGGACCGAAATTAAAATTTACTCTTAAATTAAACTAGAGTTAATTATCATAACTTCTGAAACTAATGAGAATTAATTCATCCTTGATGCGCCCACGTTTTCATGTGGCTGGGAAAATCGCAGATGACTTGTCCCATATAACTCACTAACTAGGTGACTTGCCAATTGCCATGTTAATTACTTTATATATACAACCCCAACCTAATCTTGTTAACATGTTACTTTGGCATAAAAATTACTTCATATATTATATTATAGATCGATCCATATATATCATATACAATCCACCAACTCAAATAAATAAATAATAATAAAGTACAAATACTTGCTTCGTACAAGAAATAAATTGGACTTTATTTAGATCGATCAGATTACAAAATCGACTAAAAAAGGTGTCAAATGAAATAATTTAATATTAATTTACTAAATTAAAAAAATTATCCGAAATTATCACAAATCATAAATTTTAACTCTATTTCCACCACTAAGCCTTTGTATTAACATAAAGGATTTGAACTAAAAAATCACTAAAATCTTTCACTATTTGATGTTCCAAGAGCATTCCTATTGATGAGGATTTTCTTAATTTCTGAGATAAATTTAGTGACTTGGAAGAGGAATGAGAGAGGAGGGAGAGCCCTTTCTTCTTCTTCTTTTTTTTTTTTTTTTGCAATGGTATTGGTTTGCATGATTTTGTAATTAGGAGATAAAGGAGAAATAAGAAGATCACCAGGTTTGCAGAATGTGTGCACCCAATTAAAGCATGTGCTCCATCTCAATTAAAAGTCTAAGCTGATAGTTGGATTGTACAGTAATGACTATATGCTCAACACGCCCATATTCGCTTATGGTGGCGCTAACTCATGACCTTTGGTCTAGCTCTGATTCCAAATTAAAGCATGTGCTCCATCTCAACTAAAAGCTGATAGTTGGATTGCACAGTAATGACTATATGCTCAACACACCCAACGAGTGTGTGCCATTCACGCATCTATTAGGATATTAAAATGGTCGCCAGTTGGTGACCACCCTGTCTTTTATTTAATTTTAACTTTTAAAAAAAAAATTATTTATTTCCTCCAACTAGGCAACAAGCTTAACAAAAACTCACCAAAATGTATTTACCATTGGTCTTGCTTTAATAAAATTTTTCTTATTTATGAGTTATCGTGAATTGGTTGACATCATTCCATATACCATATTTTAAAAAATTACTTAAATCAAATAAAACTCATATATTATCTGGTCATTCTAATTTTGGTGATTTTTTATTTTATTTTGGTTTAGTTGGCTTTAATTTAGTATATAGTTATTGGTAATTAGGAATTTTCACGTAATGCCAAAACTAAATTTGGAAGAATAGATGTACTTATAGTCAAACTTCCCTTTACACAGCCTTCCTAAAAACTTAGCATCAAACGCCACCAGGTTTCCCTTTCTCTTCAGTCTTCCCTCCCTTATAACAAAAATCTATCTATAAATTACATACTCAGAATATAACTCAGAATGATATATATGGAGGAGAAAAACAATAGTGTTAACATGTCGGAGAAGGAGCAAGGCCGCCATGATGAGTGTCACCATCGTCTTTTGGTTCATAGCCAAGTGAAGAGGATCAAGCAAGAATATTATACGACGGAGATGAAGTTCATAATGGACAGTTGGTCACCGGAGATGAGACCGGTTTCCGGCGGTCAGGGGATAATAATGAGTAGCCGGCAACACTCGAGATCACGCCTTGCGCTTTGCTCCGGAGTCCGCCAGCCCGATATGTGTTAGTTGTGGGTTGATGTCGTCGGAAAAATATGATTTGATTATGTCCGGTGCCGGCGGGGGTGGCGGTTTTGTAGTATTGATTTATACATTTTAAATTTTGTTAGTTGTTACTCCGTACTATATAGTTTTAGTATTTCAAAAAAAAAGTTTTTTTTTTAAATATTCATAATTTTTTACAAGGTAGTACCTGTTTTATATTTTCTCAAATAATTTTAGTCTAATAAATCTAAGTCTAATCGCCAAAGTTCGAACTTATAACCACCCATTTAGAATGGTGAACCAGGATGTCATTTGGAATTGATAATATTTAAATTTTAAGAATTATAAGAATTAAGAAGTCTATCAATATCAATTTACATGATATATATGTTTAGTTGTATTGAGTACTATGAGAATACTATCGTGCACCAGAGCACACAATCTATTGTGCGTCCTGCCCTGTTCAAAATGACGTCGTTTTGTTAAGTTGTGTGGGGAGTTGACGCGACGGAGTTTATGTGTATTCTATTATATAATTATGTCCATTTTGTACATTTTATTATACAATCATGTACATTTGAAACAGGAGATTTTTTTTAAGAGTTTATGTGTATTATGTATTATGTTAGATTATGTGTATTATCCTTTCAAAAAAGACTATGTGTATTCTGTTATACAATTATGTACATCCGAAACATGAAATTTTTTTTAAGAAGTTAACGGTAGACACGAAAAGCGAAATTTTCAAAAAAAAAAAAAAAAAACATATACAAAACGACGTCATTTTGAGCCAGAGCGCACAATGTATTGTGCACCCTGGTGCACGATATAATTTACCCAATCGTTATACCCTGCACCACGGTGCACATAGCACTGTGCGCCCCGCGCCTCCCAAAACGACATCGTTTTGTTAAGTTGTGTGGGGAGTCGACGTGACAGAGTGTATGTGTATTATGTTATATAATTATGTACATTCTGGTATACAATTATGTACATTTTTTATACAATTATGTACATTCGAACACGCGATTTTTTTAACAGTTAGAAGTTTATGTGTATTCTGTTATACAATTATGTACATTGTCATATACAATTATGTAAATTTTAGTATACAATTATGTACATTTTCAAAACATGAAATTTTTTAAACAAGTTAACGACAAACACGGAAAAGCGATTTTTTAAAAAAAAAAAATGCAAAACGACGTCGTTTTGCACCAGGGCGCACAATGTAATGTGCGCCCTGGTGCACGATATAAATTGCCTCTTATAGGGGGTAGTTCGATCCTTTGGAAACAGGGTCGGATTTTGGACTGTACAAGCTGGGCTACAATACAGGATCCCAAATTTTAGAGGCCCAATATTTAATTTTTACCTAGCTAGTTTAGAAATAAAAACTAAAAGTTTTCAATTAAACTTAAAAGGTTTAATGAAAAAATGGTAAGAATGTGTTTATTATATTTTAACTTGGAGGTTAAAGGTTCGAAACTTGCGTGTTGCTCTAGCTTTGGACATCTCCGTTTTTAATCCTTTACTTTTTCTTTGCGCACAGTAACATTTTACGACATTATTATTATTATTATTATTATTATTATTATTATTATTATTATTATTATTATTATTATTATTATTATAAAATTACGGTATTGGTTTTAAAGATTGTGATTTTGGTAGGGCCTCATTTATTTACCATAACAGGGTCACACAAATCTAAAAATCAGTCCTATTCGGAAATAAAATATTTCTCACGGGACACCCGTCCTTCACCCGAATATAGATCAAACGTCACGAACGTACATGGAGGTATACTAGAGGAATAATCCTATCAAGAAGCCCCTTAGTCTGTGCCATGATGTCAAGCTAACGAGGAAGGGTTTAGGCTAAAAAATTTGAGTGCACAGTCCGTGACGAGCTCCTCGAGTCTGAGTTGAGCATAGGGGCGCACTTTACACTGGTTGTCTTGTTAAAAACCTTAAACTAAGAAAAACACAGTGGGACAAAACTTAGCTAAGGAAAAAAAAAGTATAATTGCAAGTGCAATCTTTTGGACTACCGAGGGATCGAATTTTAGCACGAATAAGAGATCAAATTGTACTGATCTAGGGATCGGGTCTCACCAATCGAGAGATTAGGTTTTTGGTGAGATCTAGTGATCAAGTCCTACCAATCAAGAGATTAGATTTATTCACGATCCAGTGACCTCTACTGATCTTATTGATCATAAGAGGGAACGTTTCTCCTCACGCCCTTTAGTTGAGCTAAACGATCACAGTTAGTTTAATTGGTCAAGCCCTGACCTAGATTACTAGGTTCTAAGATCGTTCTTAGCAGATCGCGTTTGGTTAGTTTTGATTACCACATTAATCATTATGATGGGTTTTGAAAACCAAAATCATTTGAACATGGTGTTTTCCCTTTTTATGCTCAATTTATAAATCGAGAGTCCCAAGTGGAGGGACACTTGGAGACCCAGAAGTCTAATGATAATGAGACCGGGAATGCTATTATGCTCGAGAAGTGTGTCACGGTGTGTTATGGTCACCAAGTGCACTACGCTCGAGAAGTGCATTATGGTCGGGAAATGCACTAGTGAGCTCCATAAGCCAAGGGGGTTGCCCTACAATCCTAAAAATATGCTCAGGAAGTGACCCAATCGGGTTCATGGTGCCAGTGTTCGGGACGTCAACCTGACCATACTTATGGTAACGGTGGTCGATTTGCCTACCTTGTAGGACTGGGGATTTAAGGCGTCTCAATTTATCGATCAAGATATCTGATCTCGACACGATGAAGAGATTGAGTGCTACTGATCAAGCGATCAGATTTTTAACATGATATGGTGATCAAATTTTCCAATCAAGAGATTAGATTTACGGGTGAGAAGACCAACCTAGCGGGCTCAATTGCCTACTTTATAGGGCTAATATATGCCGAGATATGATCCCGGGCTTATAGTGCCGGTGGTGGCAATACCGACCTAACCAGGCTTAATTGCTTACTTCGTAGCGCTTATGTCGAGATACGGTCCTGGGCTTATAGTGCTGGTGGTGGCAATACCAACCTAATCGGGCTAAGTTACCTACTTCGTAGGTCTTATGCCAATATATAGTCTCGGGTTTATAAGGCCAGTGGTGGCAATAACAACCTAACCAGGCTTCGTACATGACAATCTACATACATGATCCTATTACACTTTACAAAGCAAATTTTTAAAAATTTACAAGTTCTACAAAATTATGCCTCACTTGGCTGTAGATTCGAACATGTTGGCTTGAGCACTTGATGGAGTTTGCGGTCAAGGGCATTTCTCCTCGCCGGTCCGGATATTGTAGTTTTTTCTGACTTTTCGATCGTAACCGATCATAATGATCGCGGACATGCACGCTTCTCCCTAGGTGTGTGAAAACTTCGGTAAATTTTCGGTTAATCGACCGAACCGACAAAGTTCGTTTAACCATTTTTTAACCGAACTATTTCGGTTTGGTTAATGGTTAAAGATTTTCAAAAATTTTGGTTAACGATGAATTCGGTTCGAAACTTCGGTTAACCGAAGTTTTAAATAAATAAATAAATATATATATATATATATATATATATATATATATATATATACCAGCTAGCTCGTGCCGTTGCAAGGGATGCTCGTTCTCAAACTGGTCCCTCTTTGTGGACTTCTATTATTCCTTCGTGTATTAGTCATTGGACTTCTAAAAGTTCGCATATTTCCTTTATATATATACATATATATATATATATATATATATATATATATATATATATATATATATATATATATATATATATAGAGGGATGCACTCAGGTGTGAATAAGTGCTTAGGAGGGAAATGCGAACGAATCAGCGCGCGACACGTGTCCAGATCTAATAACTTAAAAAAAATGCGGTGGTATTTTCGTAAATAATTGAACATCGAAGTGCAAGTAAAATCACTTACAAGTGCACCTACTTTCACCTATAAGTGCATGTAATTTTGCCTTGTTAGCATTCACTTTCCGCAAACATTCATGCACCTGGGTGTGCTTATAACTATATGTGCAACTATTTATAAATATAGGTGCAACTACTTATAACTATAGGTGCACCTACTTTCACCTATAAGTGCATGTAATTTTGCCTTGTTAGCATTCACTTTCCGCAAACATTCATGCACCTGGGTGTGCTTATAACTATATGTGCAACTATTTATAACTATAGGTGCAACTACTTATAACTATAGGTGCACCTAATGTCACCTATAAGTGCATGTAATTTTGCCTTGTTAACATTCATTGATCTGAGTTCAGCGGGTAGTAATACCCCTGAAAATCACTCGCAAACATTCATACACCTAGGTGCAACTACTTATAACTATGTGTGCAACTACTTAGAACTATAGGTGCAACTACTTAGAACTATTGGTGCAATTAAGTATTGATGCTCAGTGTAAATTTTTACTTGCACCTACAATACATTTTACATGCACTTGTAATACATTTTACATGCACTTGTAATACATTTTACTTGCACTTCGATGTTCAATTATTTACGAAAATGCCACCGCGTTTTTAAAAAAAATCAGTATTTCTCATCCATTAGATCTGGACACGTGGACGAACAGAATTCATTCCTATTTCGTGCCTGGGCGAAGCATTCGCACCTGAGTGCGACTATATATATATATATATATATATATATATATATATATATATATATATATATATATATATATAGGGTGACCTTCAAGTAGGAACCACTCAATAGGTGAGAACATAAGAACCCATCCCAGCCTTTGGATCTAAGTCAATTAATCATTAATATAAAAGATTCAAAAGGTTTTAAGAGTAATTTTAGCTCCCTAATAATTTTGACTTAAATAATAAAATTATTACATCCCTAGAATTTAGGCCAACAAGAAGGAATTCACTGGGACTCTAATTCAACGATTCATTGGGACTCTAATTCAACGATCTCCACATCCACTCCAGGGCTACTCACGACCGTCGCCTGCGAATTACGGACAGTACATCCGACACAAAAGGTTCAACTATGGGAAATGACCAAGAAACTCACCGGAGAGAATGGCGACAACAAACAACAACGAAAGTAAGTCCACGTACTGAAACCCCATTACGGTGTTTGTCATCCGATTGTTGAATTAAATTGAATTTGGACTGCTGAATTCTGTTATGCAAGCCGGCAGATGAGTGGAACGGCACACCCTGAGGCACTAAAGTGCACAGACGGAAACCGCCACCCCCTGCTGTGTGCCGGCTAATTTTAATGTACAATTCCGGAGCATTTTATGTACCATACGCTCGTAATTACAGAGTAGCATGTGTGCACCTATGTGCTCAGGTACGTGCCAATTTGGGATGAAACCCAAATCTCTGCTCCCGATGCGCCGTGTGTGCCTCTACGTGTTCCCGAATGTGCTAAACTGGTCAATACCCCACAATAGGAGTGCATAATGGCTCAAACCTAAGATCCTAATCGATTTCCAACATTTTGTATTAATAACTTTTCACTGCTCTACAGATGAACCCGGCTCAACAGGTTGTGTTATCAACATCTCTCCTGGCACAACGAAGTACTGGACTCTAGAGTGTGAAGCCACCAAGAAGCCTTTCGCGGGTCAGGTGTTTACTACTTTGGAAGCTGCAATTCAGTTTTACCAAACTTACACAAAGAGTACTGGGTTTGACGTGCGTCGTGCATCCGAGAAAAGGGACCCGCATGGAAAGATCACATGGAAGTATGTGTTGTGCTCATGTGCAGGCTTCAAACTTCCTACTGGCGAGGGGGATGGCGTAGGCATACTGACAACTGATCACAAGAACACAACTAAAAGGCGTCGTGTCACAAACAGAGTGGGGTGCAATGCAAAAATAGTATTCAAGAGATTAGATAGTGATAGTTTTGAGGTAAACTCAATCGAGGAGCGCCACACCCATTCATTCCCATTCATTATGCACACCAATTTCTAGACCATTCATGAAGGCAAATCGAAAACTTGAAACCTTGGTCACCAAAATTTCATCATCAATTACTCAAAGGCAAACATCGGGTCGTGCAAGAGCTTTACACTATACGAAGAATAGCGTATTCAGCAAATGCACTCCCCCCCGCCCCATCTAAGTTTATCAGAGTTCTTCACAAAGTTCGAGAAAGCAATATACAAACAACGCCACTACCAATTGCAACTAAACGCAGAATGTGAGGGCAAATTCCTAGAGCTGAAAACACCATTATTGCTAGAGCGTCGGAGTGTTTTATGATGTCCAAAAAGAAATAGTCGACGTGTGCTTCTCTTGTAACATTTAATAGTGTGCACACGAGAATACACGTGTGTGCCAATCTGACAAATGCAACCACCAAGAATTGTTAATACTAGAACATGTGCACTGGATATCAAACTTGTGTGTCATCACGTTCTGTATAGTTGTGTCAAAGCGGCCAAAAATACAGTTGTTGTGCTATTGCGTAAAACTACGTGTGCCAGAGTGGTCGGTGGGACTGGCCAAAACAACCACCACTCATAAATGAAGAATAAGCACCCAGAAAAATAGAAAATTCCTATACGGAAACACTAGTAAGGAACATATTCACCGCACATACCCACATGACCGAGGCTGATACGCTAATCAAGGAACAGAGATAACAGTTTGCACACGAGAATACACGTGTGTGCCAATCTGCCAAATGCAACCACCAAGAATTGTTAATACTGTCTTGTGTGCACTGGATACCAAACTTGTGTGCCATAACGTGCTGTATAGTTGTAGCCACACCCTATGTGCCCGCACATTCAACAGAATGTGCCATTCTGATCAGACCGTGCCAAAGCGGCCGTTACAGCCAAAACTAAAGTTGTTGTGCTCTTGCACAAAACTACGTGTGCCAGAGTGATCAGTCGGACTGGCCAAAACAACCACCACTCATAAATGAAGAGTAATCACCCAGAAAAAATAGAAAATTCCAATACGGAAACACTAATAAGGAACATATTCACCACGCATACCCACATGACCGACGCTGATACGCTAATCAAGGAACAGAGATAATAGTGTGCACACGAGAATACACATGTGTGCCAATCTGCCAACTGCAACCACCAAGAATTGTTAATACTAGAACATGTGCACTAGATACCAAACTTGTGTGTCATCACGTTCTGTATAGTTGTAGCCACGCCCTATGTGCACGCACATTCAACAGTATGTGCCATTCTTGTCAGACTGTGCCAAAGCGGCCGTTACGGCCAAAACTAAAGTTGTTGTGCTCTTGGACAAAACTACGTGTGCCAGAGTGATCGGTCGGACTGGCCAAAACAACCACTACTCATAAATGAAGAGTAAGCACCCAGAAAAATAGAAAATTCTATACGGAAACACTAATAAGGACCATATTCACCGCGCATACCCACATGACCGAGGCTGATACGCTAATCAAAGAACAGATATAGTAGTGTGCACACGAGAACACACGTGTGTGCCAATCTGTCAAATGCAACCTCCAAGAATTGTTAATACTAGAACGTGTGCACTCGATACCAAAATTGTGTGCCATCACAACTACTGTATAGTTATAGCCACACACTATGTGCACGCACATTCAACCGTACGTGCCATTCTGGTCACACCATGCCAAATCGGTCGTTACGGCCAAAACTATAGTCGTTGTGCTCTTGCGTAAACCTACATGTGCCAGAGTGGTCGGTACGACTGGACAAAAAAACCACCACTCATAAAT